ATGGTGTTGGCGTGGATGAGAAGAAGATTTGCAGCGGCGGAGTGGCTGCCGGTTTTTATGGAAGCTAGGTGGAGGTCGGCGGGGGATAATTTTCAGCCACGAGGTTTCGGTCAGTTTTCGGTCCAGTTTTGTTGTAAAAATAAATCCTTAATCCTCCTTTTATAGGCTTCCGTCAAAACCCTACTTCTTGGAGAGCAAGAAAACTTGTTTCCCAAATAATATCGGATTAAAATTCTTATCCAATTCCAATCCCAAATCAGCCGCACCATCATCGTTTGTTCGGCCAATTTCCAAAAACTAAAATAAAATTCTAAAATTACATCATCGGCCCTCCAATTCTCTAAACTCATTAATTTCTTCTTCATCAATTGCTCTAATTTCAATTCTTTCCCATTGAGTTGCTTTTAATTCGATTTTAGCTCAAAACTTCAATAATTCTTCATTTGAGTACAATTCCTACAATTAAAGACAAAATCACATAAATAGCATATTTGTACTCAAAATATATTGCAAAAATCACAAATTAGAAATATAATAAATAGGTAAAATATAAGCATATCGCATTAGTTCTATAAAAAAATTAGAGATACGAACAGATCATTTGAAACCCTATCTCATTTTTCCTAGTACAATTAGCGGTAAAACCTTTTTTTTAATAAAAAAATCAAATAAGTACTTTGTGAGTTGGCAACGGTGGGTTGCTTTATCATCACAAGTTCGGAATTTAAATCTAGCTAGAGTAATTTGAAACGAGAAAAAAAAAAAGAAGCTAATATGAACTTATAATAAATAACCATAGATATATTTGCTGTAGTACAACCAAGAAGAGAATGATTTTATGCCCAAAAAAAGGGAGAGATACTGGTCTCCCCCCTCGTTTCCTTTTGTATTTCCCTTACAAGCTCAGCTAGACCTAAGTAAAAGATTTTTTTCTACTATATTATTTTATTTAGACAATGATTGATTTCATATCTCACATGATATGTTTTCACTCGTTGGTTATTATTTAACAAATTAATTACATTAATGCCTAATGAATAATAATTATCGCATAAAGCAACATGCAAAAATGCATCCGAGTTCTTGAAAAGTATATTATGACATAAAAATTACTTCATTCAACTTAAATAAGAGTCATGCTTATTGAATTACAATTATACGATAACCAAGATTTTAATTTTATAACAAGGAGCGTATAAAAAAAGAACTTCTAACAAATTGGACGCACATTACATTAAGAAAATCTCATTTATCACTTCATTGAGATTCTTACCCTATAGGTTATATAGGAGCAGTACTTTATGAAATATGAACATAGGAGGCTTGTGGTCTAATAATGAAATTCTTCGGGACCAAGAAAATAAAGATAAAAAGAAAAGAAAGGTGCTTACTCTTTCCAACAAAAATGGTCCACATTGTGTTTTGTAAAATATATTTAAAATAGTACAATTCACAAATTATAATTGTGAACTATTTTTTTAAGATGAACGGAGTACATTTCACAAGCTTTATTATCTACTATAAGAAAAAAAAAAAACATTAACAACTTAATTAAAATTGTTCCTTACTCGCTAATGAGTATACTGGGGACTTTATCGTTATAATTAAAATTGAATCACATTTGTGAATATTCTTAAGCCTATTCAAAGACCCGGAGACTTCAATCACCAGCTATTTATTTATTCATTATTTTGATTAACAATGAAGCAATTTTTATCATTTTTTTATTTGAAGGAGGCAAATGGCCTAATTACAAAAGCGTCCATTTGAGGCAAGAAAATGTTGCAATTTTTTCAAGATAGAAGGAAATTGCAACATACGTAGTCCATTTGCGTTTAAAGTCCAATTTCCTTGGAACCTTACATATTGGGCTACTATAGCCAGTGGCCCAATAAGTAGTCGTCTCAGTCTCACTTCAATTTTTTAAGGAGAAATTGTTTCATTTGATTAATTTGATGAAATTGAATGGTAATTCTACTTATTCAAACATGATAGTTTCCTTTTTAGGAGATTTTTTTTTTCCCCGGATGTAATTTTTAATGGAATTTACTCCATAAATTTCTATTTTTTGTGATGGATATATTATTGAGCAAGTTGTAAGTTTGTGATCGTCAGTGTTCCTTTGACTTATTTTAATCAACAAGATCAACAAGTATACAACTACCTAATTACCTCTCTCACAAAAGATAAAAATCTAACGAAACACAATATAAGAGATATAGATATAATTAAACACAATCAAGCAATCTGTTTTTTTTTTATGTTTTTTTTAAGGCCCGATCACATTTTCAAGTAAATAATACTACCTCCGTCCGGAAAAAAAAATTCACATAAATTTTTCAAATTTTTACTAAAAACAGTACAAAACTCAAAACTCAATGTTGACTATTCTTTTTGAGACGGAGGAAGTATAATACTATCATTGTCTTAATGTGAAAGTAAAATACATACACGAGTTCTCACGAATATCTATTATGGAAGCGATATAATACATCTGATTTGTTCCGAGGAAGAGTTCAACTGTACCTGTAATCAAGATTATACCTTGATCCAATTTAGGGGCGGGGGGATGGGGGAATGAACATTTCCAATACTTTTCAAACCTTTCATGCATAAAGGATACTATTTCACAAAAGTATAATATAATGGGGTCTTTATATTCTGAATATTTGATATGGTCAGGATAAAGTGGTCTAAAGAATAGAATACTCGTTAGCACGAGTTTCATGTCATAATTTCTGCAAGAACAATATTATGTAAAAAAACAAATTAAAAAAATATCTAGAATACACATAGTTTCATTGTGAAAGAAATTATTACCTGTCTCAAAATTATTGTTTAGTTTGAGATTTCACTTTTAGTACAATTTGAACTAGAAATAAAAATCTAAACTGGACACAATAATTATGAGACGGAAAAATTACAAGAGTTCACTAATTGAGACACTATGGTAACTTGGTATGCCTAGGAGGAAATTGCATCTGTCCCAAGCTCCAAATTCTATCAATTCGATATCTCATAATTATTAACACATAGATCAATGCAATCACATACACAATATAGCCCAAACTCTAAAAGGTGGAAGCATATTTGCTCTATTAAGTAAAGGTTTTTTTTTCCATCATAAACTTGATTGTGGATTCGAATGCTACAACATCATCCAGGGATAATTTATACTTATCACACAAACTTTTTCCATTTTTAGTAAAAATATACATGCATGGGCAGTAAACATGCTGGAAATCAAATAAACAATCTTCAAAATAATTTTATACTTTTTTAAAAAAAATAATTAAAAAAAAAGAATCTGGGAAATAAATTGGTCAAATTAAGCATGTGGTAGGGGGCATGTTCCCGTCTGTTTTTAATCAAAGATCTGAGGGAATTTTATGCATTTTTTGGAAATAAATTCTATGATTCCTATAGTACAGCGGTGAAATTCGGAATAATAAATTATTAAAATGTAATAATTACACTAGTCATTAATGGGTCCCAACCTCGTGGCCGCAACCGCAAGATTTTACTATTGTGTCTCGAGTTTTCCTGCGTTTGATTGATTTGATTGATTAAAATTTTTATTTTATAGAATATATTTCTTTTATTTCTTTTTTGATGAATAGATTGTGCTCGTGGCAATGGTTACATTCCTTTTTCACCATAGATTTGGGTTGAATTATTTGCACGTTTTTATTGTCACTCTTTTGTTCCCAAAATTCGCTTCAGCGATATCGTTCATTGAAAGAAAAAAAAAAAAAAAGAGAGAGAAAACTTGGAATTGTTGTTATTCAAGCGTACATTTTGGTTGCAAGCAACATTTTTGGTGTGTTTTTAATGTATTTTTACAATTTTGATAAAACTTTTCCATTTGAGACAACTGGTGTTATAGGATAAAACTACAACTATATCAAGTAAATATTGTCTGATATATAGAGACCAATCGATATTAGATCAATAACTAAAAAAACAGAATCTGAATTCAACGTGATCTACTATGTTATCACTTTACTCTTGGAAAACACAGATTTCCTCCCAACCATTTTGCTTTCAGTCTTTCATGAGATACTTACGAGAGTTTAGAAAATACGAGGAAAGTTCCTTTAAAAACAAATTAAATAGAAAAGAGAGAGAGAAGGGAAAAAAAAAAGAAAAAAGATTTGAGCATTTACACGAACAAACTTCTATCTTTTTCACACATGCAAATTGGTATAGGCATACAATGAGCCAAGATAATTTTAGATCACAAATTGTACTTTGTACTGCTTTTAATACAATTTATAAACTGTAACGTAAGATAGTATTAATTATTTTTGGTACATTTATACGGCAATCACCTTTGATATTTCCTCTTTTAAAAACGACATTTTACAATTTTAATATTTTTCTAGACGAAAGATGTACACCGATTATAAAATAAATCATCGTTAACTCTTTTACTATGAAACAATCTATATAAAATCTTGAAATGCACCGAACCTCAAACGGGTTTGATTGTGATGGTCCTGAATCCTGATAGATGATTTCTTCTACTCGTCTCCTACTCCTTTGAAGTCAAAGGGCTGCAAAAAAAGAATTGTCAAAAAAATGAAGCAAAAAAAATTAAATGCATAGGACATGGTCAAGCCATTTCAAATAACCGGCCAATTTGATTCATATGATATCATCCTTAATTGCCTCCTTAAACTTCCTCACGTTGTATTCCATTGCATCCTTTCCTTTTTCCATTCCCTTTTTTCTCCCTCTCTAAAATATCTGTTTGTTTCGTTTTTTTAGTTTATATTTTTAAGTGTTTTTTGTATTAGAAATATAAAAAAAAAAAATATGTTAGAATGGGACAGTTAATAATAAAATAATATAAAAAAACCAATGTAAAAACGAAACAAACAGACATATATATTTTCTTTTTTGGTAAATTATCTAATTATATCATTATCATTATTTATCACAAACACAAGTACATATATAAACTCAACTACCTATATCTATGATCCATCTTTGTCCCTCTCCCCTAACCTCAAATGTCTCGACAATAGCCATCCCATTCAACTCTCAACACTTTTCCTTTTCCACGAAAAGCTACAAGAAGAAGAGATCAAGATTCACTCTTTCCTTCTTTGCATTTTACTTTTTGTGAACTCAAAACTTCAGCATCAATCTATGCTTTCATTTCTTTGATTTTTCATTTTTCTTTTTTTTCTTTTTTCTCTCCTCCTCCTTTTGCCAGCTTCTTCTTCTTCTTCTCTCACTTTCATGGTCTCTTTTTTTCGGTTTTTCCCTCTATGGAAGTTTGAAACCAAAACAAAAAAACAGAGCCCCCCACTTTAGGGAATTAATTTTGCACGCAAATTAATCATCATCATCACCATTTCCAACGAAAACTTAATCAAAGTTGCAAAATTTATCAACAGGGTACGTTCAATTCTCCTTGGTTTTTGCTCTTTTGTTTCTTTTTTTTTTTCCTTGACTGATGTAAAATAAAGCTTCTCTCTTTAGAACAATCTTTGACAGTTATTCTTCTTCTCTTCCTTTATCCTCCTCAATTTCATCAAACAAAAAAAAAAAAAAAAAGAAAGGTGGATGATGGTGATGTTTTGTGGGTTTGCTTTAGATCTGCAGATGTTTCAAAAGTAGTAAGAAATCTCATCATGATTTGTTGTACTTGTTATTCTTGATAAAGGGTATTGGAATATATGAGTATTCAGTCATTGTTCTGTCAGCAGTAAGGAGATACAGTGTGAAATTAGGACTGTTTTATTCAGACAGAGGATATAATAATGCAGAGGAAAAAACACTTGAATGTGGATGGAGGAATTGGAGGGCAGTGCAAGATCAGAAAAAGAGGAAGTTCTTCATCATCATCATCTTTGTTGGTTCGAAATTATCGATTGAAAAGGGCAATTTTGGTGGGGAAGAAAGCAGGGTCAAGCACCCCTGTTCCAATGTGGAAGATGAATGTTTCAAGATCACCGTCACTTAAAAATGACAAGAATATGGTGGTTACAGCTAAGGGAGGTGAAGTAGTGGGGAAAGAATTAGTCGTTTCTGCTCGAAAACTGGCTGCTACTCTTTGGGAGATCAATGGAGTTTCTACTGCCAAAGTGAAAAATAAGTTGGAAAGTAGTAGAAAGGCTCATGAAGTAGAAGGGGTTAGAAAGGATAAGAATTTGAAATCATCATCCAAAGTTGCTTCAATGGCATTGTATTGCTCAGGTCCCTCTTTTAGTCCTTTATCTGAGGTGGGGTGCAATTTTTTCCTTGACAGGATTGTGATTTTTGGATTGAACAGTGTCAGAGACTCATGAACAGTGTTACATTTTTTTAGTCTTGTGAATGAATCAGTTTAACTCTTTTATGCTTCTGATGTTCATTGTTTAACTTGCAGAAAATGGATCAGCTTCAAGGGGGTTCTCACAGAAGTAGAGCTTCAAATGGTTCTCAGAAGCTTCTGCCTTCTTCTGACTGCAATTTTCCTGGTTTTGCCTCATTTCACAATGCTGGCTTTGTGGAGGTAGTTCATACCTATCCACTGTCTTTAACTGTTATTTTCCAACATCTTTTTTTCTTCAAAAAATTAGTTATTTTCTGCAAGTACAGGTTAAAAGATTAATACTGTACATTTTGGGATGATCTGATCTTTCTTGTTTCTTTTTGCCTGTCTTTTTCTTTGATGAATTTGCCGGGTGCAATTGGAGCTCAAAGCCTTAAATTGCATTCATAGAATGTGTAGCTATTTGGCGTTTTATCATCTTATATCTTAAGAAATGGACAAATCCTTCATTGAATCACAGCAACAACTAACATGATTTTTATTCTTTTCTGGGTCCACCTAAAACCAACATGTTTTGTGGTTTGTTTCCAGCATGTATGTGGTTGAAACTTCATGTATTCCATGAAAATACAGAGATTATGGTTTGTCATTGTCACATAAGAGTTGATGGAATTGAGTAATAATAGCTCTTCATAAATATCAATCCTTTCCTGTCTTTCTCTTTAATTATTTTGTGCTGGTTTTGTTTGTTACAGTTTTGATATCCATTTCTTGTTACTGTTTTATAGTAATAATTGGAAAATTGGAAGTTGAAAGAGACTTGGTAATGCAGGTTGATCAGAGTCATGGATGCACTCCCCGTGGAAACAAAGTTAAGCATCGGTTGAAGGAATTGCGAGGCGCTCTCACCACTTCGAAAGAGCTGTTGAAAGTACTGAACAACATCTCGCGTCTTGAAGAACAACCACCTACAAGCTTGTCCCTTGTTTCGGCCTTGAAAATTGAGATTGATCGAGCGTGTGTTCAGGTTAACAAGTTGATTCATGAACACAAATCGAATCAGCACGAGATTGATTTCCTACTGCAGCAATTTGAAGAGGAAAAGGCTGCATGGAAAGTGAGAGAGAAAGAACGCATTCGTGGTGCTATTAGTTCAATAGCAGGGGAGCTTGAGATTGAGAGGAAGCTGAAGGGCCAAAGTGAGAGGCTGAACAAAAAGCTAGGAAAGGAATTGGCAGATAAAAAAGCATCTCTGTCGAAAGCTACTAAGGAACTTGAGAGAGAGAAGAAAGCAAGAGAGATTCTGGAGCAAGTATGTGATGAATTAGCCCAAGGAATCGGGGAAGACAGAGCTATTGTGGCTGAACTCACAAGGGAGTCTGCAAAAGTTCGCGAGGAGGTGGAGAAAGAGCGGGAAATGCTTCACCTTGCAGATGTATTGCGCGAAGAACGGGTTCAAATGAAACTTTTAGAAGCCAAGTATCAGTTTGAAGAGAAAAACGCGGTTGTTGATGAACTGAAGAACGAGCTTGAGGCTTACTTAAAAAGTAAAGTAGACAGAGGAGAGCAAGAGAATGGCTCTCCAAACTATGAAAGAATAAAGGAACTTGAGAAATACTTAAGAGAGACACTTCCAGTCCCTACTCATCACTATCATGATCAAGAAAAGAATGCTGGAGAAATTGTTTTCAAAGAGAATCAAGGGGAAGCAGAAGACTCGCCCGACAGTGATCTCCACTCCATCGAATTAAACATGGATGATCACAGCAAGAGCTTCAGATGGAATGATGTTTATCAAGTTGAAACGAACAAAACGGCAATGAATGGCAAAATTAAAGGCAGGAAGTCAACTAGCTCCGAAAAGAGGCAAAGGAAAAGCATTTCCATTGAGAGGCAAACTTCAGATGGTATAGAGTGGGAATTTTCGCCCGCTGCGAGACAACTACCTTCAGATGTGTATACTGGAAGCAGTAAAGTTTTCGATTTTCCTTCCAAAGATTGGAAAAGGGAATGCGAGGATGAAATTGAGAGGTACAACATGATCAAGAATCTCAGAGATAACATAGTTTCTGGTTCCAAAATAGCTTCATTCCATGAAGCTTCTAGTCCAAAAGGGAACTGGGATCAACACAATTCGGCTTCTCAGGATCTTTCAAAAGTGGTACGTGAAGCATTTGGAGTATTGCAGGAAGCAATTTGATGCAAGAAGGAGCTTGACATCTTGTTGCAGTTACTCTGTCAATGTCAAAAAAAAATGTCATCTTTTTTTTTTTTTTCTTTCTTTTTTACTGTCTGCACTGTTTTAAACAGTTGCAGTAAAATACTTCATATATAGAGATGGACAGATCGTTCAAAATGGTGTCTGCATTTGTCTAAGTGAGTTGTTAGATATGAGGGATCAATCTTGAATGGTAAAAGAGTAAATGTACAAAAGTTTTTCTTTTTACTTTTATTGCTGATAAAGATGTTGAAAATTTACTGATTGTGAATAAGTACGAGTTCAATAATACTCTCCCGTCCTTAATATAAGACATTTTGATTTGTTCTAGGTTTCACTTAGTACTCATTTTTTATTGATAAAAAAAATCTTAAAAATATATTATCACATTCATCGTTTAGAAAATATTTTAAAATTTTTTTTGTTATTTATATGTATTAGATGAAACTTAGAAAAAAGTGAAAATGATTTATAATAAGGACACGAGGGAGTATCTTGTAAGACCCTTTTTTCACCCCACGTAATTTGGCATTAAAATGTCAATCAGCAAGCACTAAGTTGTGAAAATATCATATGGCAAAGAAGTTTCCCAATGCACATGTTTAACACTTAGCAGGACAACTTTGTATTGATAATTTAATCATTTGATCATGGGGGAGAATTCGCACTCGAATTGTGAAAATGCTCCTCCCATGTGCTTGAAATTATGGTTTGGTGAATGTTTACACCCAAAACTTCTGTTCAATTCGGATTCTTTTGTCCTTTTTGTGCATTGAAATTTAAGGCCATTGAGTAGTTTAATCTATCACCTTTTAGAAGGCACATGAACACTAATAATAAAAATTAGAATAGAATGTCAACTGGGCATGTTTGTTGTTACTTGATAATACCTCCTCGAATCCTTAATATAAGACATTTTGATTTGTCCTAAATTTTACATGATACGTATTTTTTAATAAAAAAAATTTAAAAATATTTTATAAAAATCAAGATAACGGTATTTTATCACTAAAGATTATTATTTTGAATGGTATCACGAATTACGCACAATAATTCGCTTGGCTCGCCATTATAAAACTGGTTTTGGATTATTAGGACCACATGCAGTCGTATAATTGTTGCCAGCTAAAGTTTAATAAGGGCTGGGATTTGTGAGAACTTTTCAAAGATTGCCATCAAATGCATTGTCACCAACTCGTGTATTCCTTCATTATTTTAGGTGTCTTCGATAATGCATATTCATATTCCCAAAGCCCGTGTTTTAGACTTTCGAAGTTTTTAGGTAAAGGGAATAGTTGACGTTTGCAGTCAGTTTCTTTTCTAATTTTTTTAAGTACTTCTTGTTTTGGTTCATTTGTCCCATACTTTTGTTGTCTACCTCCAATAATTCTTCAATCCAAGGTTTTTAATTTTTTATTACTACTATGTTTTCTTCCCCCTTCTTTGGGATGTGCAACAAATTGCAACTAAACTTGGTTTGAACTTATGCCTTATAAAAGTGGTATTAAAATGTTGTGGGAGTTAAGAAAACCAAAACTGAGAACAATATGACATGAACAAGGACTAAATCTAGGAACGAATAATTGTTCAAACGACTAACGTATAAGTCCTATAAAAGAGGGTTGGTTTATACGTTATTTGTACAGGATACCAGTTCTATGCAGTTTCCAAAGCAAACGAGGGCGTCAGAGTTTCGAATGAAACAGGAAAGATAAGAGTTGAAACTTGCAAACATTCTGGAGGATATGCATTGCCTGCAGCATTCTTCAGTTGCAGTAATATAAGAAAAAATACATTTTGGCCTTTTTTATGGCCAACTACAATCAGAAGTAGGTACTACTATTGTACAAACATCAGTGATGCAGAATATATACCAGGGTGTAAGGGACTGACTTCAGATTAGTAACAAAGGTGCCAGCCACTCAAGGCGAAACTATATAGTTGATCTTCTGTGAACCATGGCTATTTTTGAGGGCTTTCGCCTTTTTCTTGTGCGGAAGTGAAAGTCACTGGTCTTGCTGGATGGTCTCGGACAATTAGGCTAAGCACTTCAGGTCTTGAATAATGCCCAACCACATCAAAGTCAAACTTTGCCCTGGCTATTTCTCCAAGATCTGGCGTTCATGAAACAAAAGAAAGTAAGTTCAACGTTCTTCAACTGTTGAAAAAAGAAACCACAATGCATTCATGACTTGGGAAGTTTGAGATCTGGATAAGAAAATATTTGTCACTCAAAAAACAACAGCTTTCTTCGTATTTCAAAGAGCCTTCACAACTAGTAACAAAAGTTCTACACAACTGGAATCTCAAGTCTAGGAACACTAAATATCGAGAAGGGTAGGCGAAGAGTTCCCATATAGGGGAAATAGAAAAGCTCTATTAAGTTCTGTCAATAAATCCAATGATTACAATCTCATCGGGGGTTTCTCAATTGAATCCAAGAAAAACTCTAGATAGAATTAATAGGAATGTTAATGAGTCATATAGTAGCTTACCTAGATCTGCAGAGATGAGTGCCTCTCCTTCATAGTTTGGTCCAGCAAGCACAACTCCTGATGGTGAAATTATAACACTTCCACCAGCACAAACAACAGATTCGGGTGGAAGATCTTCTTCATTACCCATAAAGACATAATCTGGTGGTGGTGGATAATCCTTTCGTCTGCAGAACTGGTTGGCTGACAGAACAAAACACCCGCCCTCAAGAGCAATATGAGTCATTGATGCTTGCCATATATCCCTCGAATCAGCGGTAGGAGCACAATATATTTCAATGCCTGTTATCAATGGAAAGATTCAACAATAAAATAACTGTTAATAATGGTGCAATTAGCTAAGGTTACGATGATTCCTAATGATACCAAGGCCAAACTTAGCCAATAAGATGTAATCATCCTTCCATATAGGCAATAAAACATAACACTACCAGTGTCCAAGATCAGATCAAGTAGTATCAATCATTACAGGTTTTAACTTCCATCTCAGTATGTGAAGGAGAGATTAGGAATGCCATTTTGCAAGCAAAGCAAGAACTGCTCCAGCTTGGAAAGGATTGGCAGAATTTCATTGCAACATTTAGAATCAACTAACCTTTTGCATACATAGCAGTCCGCAGTAGTGGCATCCTGTTCTCCCAGCATATTGCAGCACCTATTTTACCAAGCGGTGTCTCAAAAACTGGAATTGTTGATCCATCTCCAAAACCCCATATCACTCTCTCCAGAGCTGTTGGCATGAGTTTACGGTGCTTTCCAAGGTAATGACCTTGAGAATCAAAAAAAAGAACGGTGCAGTAGAGAGTATATCCATCTCGTTCAATCACACCCATCACTAAGAAGACTTTGTATTTTCCAGCCATGGTAGCCAGTCTATCAACTTCAGGACCTATGTTCATGAATTGAGGTTGTATTAAAAAAACATGAGCCAAGTTCTACTCAGGTAAGCATAATGAAGAAACCAGAATCCAGGAGTTTCATATAACAAATTATAACTACTCTCACAAACTTAAGGCCCTGTCACGGTCGCATAAAATTTTAAACATTTCTTCATATGGGCCTTCCCTTTCTGCTGTCCTATCTCCCATTTTCATTTCTTCTCTTGCATGATTTTTAGTAACACTACCATCCCCAGCCCCTCAATCCCCTGTGACAGCTTTGCATTTGTAAAACAACATCAAGTCTATCCAGACTGGAGGGACACAAATAAAACTCAACATACAAGAGAAGAGAGAAAAACGGAACTTTCACCAACATTTATCTTTTCCTGTAACATTTTCTCATCTTCTTCTACTTCCAACATTTGTTGGGACAAAAGTTTGTAAAGGGCTCTTACCAGGCACATCTATGGCAGCAGCATGATACTTCCGGAATTCCTCCTTACCCTTGGCAGTACGGTTACCAATACTGACACCAAAATTGGATCCACGTGGATAGCCACCTACGAATGCTTCAGGAAATACTACAAGCTGTGACCCGTAGGCGGCTGCTTCGGCAAGAAGCCTTTCGGCTTTATCTGCAAGTGCATCCACAAATCAGTTTCATGATAAAAGTAAATATTCTGTGCAGCCAAGATTCATGATTCTAAAGCTTGCTCCTAATCTTACAGAAAATTGGATCCAGCAAAGCATATGTCTAATCACTAGTTCACAACAGCAGTTCCTGGAACTAAATTATATTCTGATGAATTCACTTAGAATCCTTGCTTCTCCCATAATGTGCTTAAAAATTCTGAAAATTCTGCTTCTTTTCTATTTCTAAACAGAAGACTGATGTCCCTTAGATGCCACAGAAACATAGAAATTTTCACAGAAAACAGGCAGATAAACCCACAGGACAAGACTCTTATTTTCACAACAGAGGACTGATGTCTCCTAGATGCCACAGAAACAGAGAAATTTTCACAGAACACGGTCAGATAAACCCACAGGACAAGACTCTTATTTTTCCTTCCCGTACAACATAATAGAGTGGACGCTGAATCACAACTATTTCAGCACAAACACTTCTTTGGCAAGAATATTGAAGTACATGACCCATCTGTTGTCAGGTGTAGCGCTGATCAAGTCGACAGCTTCAGAAAGTAACCCTCAAACATTTGCAATCTCCAGACATTGCCAGTGATATTTTTTTGTTACAGGCATTTTACAACCGTTACTGGTTTTTCCTGTTAGCTAAAAACACCCTTTCGAGAGGCCCTAAATAGGTTATCTCATAACTAGAAATCCACAATTAACACTGTATCTACAACCATTACTATTGCAATCTATACACATTATCAGTGGGATCGTCATTACATGCAATTCACAGCGATATTTGCTTTAGTAACAATACTTTTCAGAAAGGCCCTAAAGCGCCCTTTTGAGATAATATTAACACCTGAAAATTTTTGAAAGCAAAACAAAAGATATTCCATTGAGCAAAACAAACCAAGCAAACATCTTCAAACCCAACCCAAGCTATTCAAACAATTCCACGATCAATGCTAAACATCCCACATTCTTTTTCCCAGCAATCCAATTTCACACGAACCCAGAAAGCATAATAATCTAAACAATCGAAAACATTAAGAACAGGGTAACAAATGCAACAAAATTCAAAACTCGAACTAACCCAGAGTAGCAGGGGTGTCATAGAATATGGTGGAGGCCTGAACTACGGTGGCTCGAATACTGGGTGCAGCCGAATCAGCACCCATTTCAACTTCTGCAAACAAAGGGCCTTCATTAACTTGAGGAGTGGTTACCAAAGCCATTTCCTTTACAGCTTTTTTTTTTTTAGTGAAAATTCTTTGTTACAGTTCCTTGAAATTCGATGATGTTGGGAAATGGGAATTGGCAGTAAAGATTCTACTTGAAGGAAATATGTTACCGAATAAATAAGGGGTAAATGAAGAAAAAGATCACTATAAAATCAAACTCACGTTTCAGGTTTCAGGTTTCAGGTTCTGAAGTGTTCTAGAGGCTACACTGAACTGTTTCTTTCTAATCCTTTCTTTCTTGCTTATTGGATGGTGCTGAGTGGGATAAAACGAGTATCGGGACTGAATGTTCAGATTGCTGCCACGTGTCATATTTTCTGTTGATTTCAGGAGCCTCCCGAGGTTAGAGAAACTATGAATTCGCCCTCCAAAATTAGAAAAAGCCACTATCACGAAGATGTGTAAAAGGGAAAATGGTCTTTTTATCCCAAAATTTGGGTCACACCATCCCAAAGTTTAAGAATATGTCATTTACTTCCCAAACTTTTTAAAAACATGTTACATTAGGATATTCGTTAAATTTTTAACTCCAGTTAATTAATTAGTGATGGTACTTTATTCTGTTTCTCCTTTCCCAATTCTTTTAATCATTTAACACGTTCCACTAACTCCCACCTTATAAGAAAATATCTAAACCTAATTTGGTCTTCACATAATCCATTCTTCCCTTGCTTAGAAAAAAAAAAAAAAAATTCAAGATTCACCTTCTAGATTGATAACAATTGTGAGAGGTTTTGTGTGTGTCCTAATTAGAAAGTAAGGCCTATTTCATTTATTTTTTTAAATATGCAGCATCATTATAAAAAATTAGTGTTGTAATTGATGCAGGAACATGCAATTTTTTTGCTTTGCATGGACCAAATTTACCAAACGCAAGCATGAAATTTTTTTGACTAAAAAAAAATGGGAGAAAAGAAACTGAATGAAATATTGCCTTTAATAATTTGAAAAAATTAACAAATGTCCTAATATTACATATTTTTGAAAAGTTTGGGATGAAAATAATGCTTTTAAACTTTGGAATGTTTTAGATGGTGTGGCTCAAACCTTGGGATGAAAAGGCCCATTCTTCCATGTGTAAAATGACGAAAAAAAATGCATGTCTAATAATTTTAAATTAAATAATTCGTGACATTAAAAGAGTAAAAATATGAGATTATACTCTATGTGTCTTAAAATTATAGTCTATTTAAGAATTTTTCTTTAACCAAAAATGCCTCCGAAAACATAAAGCTAATTATTCCACATTTCTGTTCATCAAAACACCAATAATTATATCTGAATTGCAAGTTTATTGATCCAAAGGTTGAACTAGTTTTATTTTATTAGCTCCGTGCATTAATTTTTTTTTTTTTACTATTTTCTCTTCTAGATTTTTTCTACAAGCAGTTGTGCAATGTATATGTACTGATTATGGATGATGCAATCTTGCCGAAGGGACTCTTCTACTTTTAATAGAATGCACCTTTCGTGCAACTTTTTTTTTAAAAAAATAAAGTTAATATTAGAACTTGAAAGATATCGTCCAATTAAGTATGAATTTTCGTACATTTTAAAATCACTATCTTCAAAGCATTGGCGATAATTCCCCATCATATTATTTCACGTATTCAGAAATGTTCATTATTAAAAAATTAGACGAAATATGTATTATTGGTCAGATCATTTGATTAGTTATTTAGCTCTCTTTGAAAACAAAAATGTAATATTTATTAGTATTACTATTTTGCTCAAAGATAATTTATGCTAATCACTTCCCATAAACATATATTGACCTGGATTAAGATTGTACGCAGTGGATAGGTACGTAGAAATTTACTTGAAGAACTCGACAATTACAACCATTAGAAACATTTATGTGAACATCATAAACAATCATTTCTCGTGAACTCGACGATTACAACCATTAGAAACATTTATGTGAAAATCATAAACAGTCATTTCTCGTGTTTTGGTTATCTAGTTGAAGAAACATAGAAAACTCTGTCCCTGGATTATGGAGGAAATGCCACTAATTGTGCTCACTGGAGTAGATATTATGCCATCCCAAGTCATTGTCTCCGGAGAAGCAGTGCAACAATGGGAAATGCAGATAAAATAGACACTAGGATTTTCAAGTCTCCATTACGCGGAGGCAATATGAATTACTTATTTTAATTTTTAAATGAGACCATGAATTAATTGTGTCTATTATTTAAACGATTAATTTTTTTCCTTCATACATCTTATGAACGACTAAAACAACAACAAGAAACCTTTTTCCCGTAAGCCTTTATCAACAACAACAACAACAATAACAAGCGATTTTCCTTCTTCACATATTTTATCAAGTGAAAACAAATTTTTTTGTGTAACTTATTCATTTTTTTTTTTTGAAAGCAAGAACTACTAACTACTACTACTTGCTAAATGTAGATAGCGATCACTTGTGACCAGCGAGTTCCTGATGTAAAGCTAGCAATCTAGGTGACGAAAACCTATTGTGACAAGAGCTACGGTCATTTTTCTAGACAAACTTCTGTAATTTTTTTTTTATCAAAATGCGAATCAAGACCTTTCTTGTTGTCGTAACTCCTCCCAGTAATAGCACCATGGTATTTCATCGTCGATGTGAGAGTTGGAGGAGAAGAGGTGATCTCGCCTAATTGCTAACAACATAAAGATTAGGAAGTTCAATTTTGAATCATTGGTCACCATGAGTGAAAAGTGACGAGAAGGTTCAATTTAGGGTTATCGGTTGCTGGAATCAACCGTAATGGGTGGTTTCAGGCGATGATAGGAGGTTTTGGTCGGAGGCGAAGAAAGAATATCGTATTCGTGTTTAATTTGTGTAGTATTACTATCTTGGATTGATTCTAATATTTTTTTGACGCGTAAAAATATAGCTTATTTTTATAACTCATTTTAAATAAATTTGTTCATAAATATATGGAAGTTTGGAGATCGTTCACTTCAAATTTTATATATGGTTTTTGGCGGTTGCTGATAGAAATTATACAAACCAAACCTTAGTTTTCAATATATAGAGGCCTCTGAAATCGAAAACTAGACCTCTTTCAAATGACAATGAAATTTTAGATATTTGGAATCAAATTACAACGAAATTTTGGATATTTTGAAAAGTAGAATAATTGCCAGCAAAATGGAGCTTCTAACTAATCCAATCGATAGTCATTTTATCAAACAAATGAGGAGCATATTTGCAGCCAAACTCAAATATCGTTATAACATATCGAAACAGAGACATGAGCAATCATTTTACAGCTTTTTCAATTGTTAACCATTTTATATCCTTTCTGGAGCAACGATCGATAATTACTCCAATAGAATAGCTAAATTACCAAAAAATCACCAACCAATCGATCAGTATTTACTCCGATCGAATAACTAAATTACCAAAATCATCAACCAAAACAAACTCTATTGAATTACTGCTCGAAAGAAGTTTAAGGTTTCAAGCCTAGACAATAATCTTGAAATTTCTAGCCAAACTCCCCAAAAAGAGAAAAAAAATAAGGACACTTGGAAATTAGGCTCAAGATAATAGTATGGTTGTCTTCTCAGCCCCTGAATGATTCTGCTTGCAGAGTCGTAGGTTGATGGGAAGGTAGTAGAGGCAGAGGTGCACGGAACGGAGAGAAAGGGAGGAGAGGGTGACAACGAACGAACGAACAAAATCACTGTAAAAGTTAGACTTCCCGTATTATATATAGAAGAGTAGATATTAATAGATACTCCCTCCGGTCCTTACTATAAAGACATTTTGATTTGTCATAGATTTCACCTAATATGCATTTTTAATAGAAAACAAAACCTTAAAAATATATTTTCACATTCTTTGTATTCTCTTGATTGTTAGAAAATATTTTAAAGATTTTTTTATCAATTAAAAATATGTACAAGATGAAACCTATGACAAATCAAAACACCTTATTAAGGACCGAAAGAAGTATTATCATGGGAGTTCTTTTTTCTGAAAAATAAATCAGGGAAAAGAAATCATCAAATGAAAAATATCTCTCTACTAACGGAATTTTAATTATTTTTGGCATATTTCGAATATGTATTGACGGTTTTTTTTTTCTTTCTATAAAAAGCTGCAAGTATCTTAAATATATCAGCTACTCTTTTCTGAAATAATTGTCCATTGGAATCTATCTATTATGTATAAATACAAAATAATTTTTTCAAACGTGATGCACAATTAGAAGTTTTGTCAAAATGTATAATAAAAAATTAGTTATTACCCTCTACATTAACAATTTTACAATTTTAGTTAAAATTAAAAAAAAATCAACGAAATAGATTCATCAGATAAAATAGAAGATAAAATTAGTTATAATAAGATTTCCATTTTAAAAGAATAGATATATAAGAGTTTATTTTATTTTTATAATGGTGATGGTGGTTATATGAATTGTTTACAAATAGTGATGCAGATTATTGTGATGGGTTTTTAATTGACAGAGGATACCTTGTGTTATTTTTTTAATGCTTGGCTAACTATAAGTGTTATTTTTTTTAATCTGATTTTTTGACATTTTTTAGTTGTAGTTTGTAATACAGTATTGTTTGAATTTTGTTTAGTTAATTTAAAATTCTTTTCCAAAATGAAATTTGAAAAAACAATAGATTTTACAATTTTTTTCACAAAAATTTAAGAAAAAAAAAACTAAATTTTACAAAAAAAAAAATCACAAAATCAAAGGAATACATAAATATTTTTTTATGTTTTATTAGTTAGAATTTGTGTAAATTTAAATTAAAAATTGTCACAACAAGTGCCAGTAAGTACTAGTTTCATTTTAGGTATAAATGAAAATCCAAATTAGAGAATCATTATGGAACAAAAAAAAAACTAAATTTACCCCTTATTCTCTTAGGAATAAAAGAAAGATATTGTTGCTCTTTTTCAACAGTTGCGATATTAGTAGACCTTTTTCAATGACACAGCATGCCTCATGCTTTTGAACCATCTTAATGGAAAATTCCAAAACATTTTGTAGCATTATCTTTCATTAGAAGAACCAAAAGAAACACCAAAAACACACACACACGTACACCAATGAACTTTGACAATTCAAAGAAAACTCTATAGTCCTGCCGGTTCGATGATTTGGTCAATGATCAATGCCTGGTTACAGACTCACAGTCATAACAGGCCGATGGCATAACATTTACAGTATAATAAAACTATCATCAAAGAAAGTGGAAGAAGTCATGTTGGGAAGGTTTGTCATGTCAACCCGAGGTAGGGTTCATCTGGGCAGACGGCCACAGAAAGAAAAGAAAGAAAATGTCATCATCATACACACAAATGACTTCCAACTTCCCCACTGTAAACACAAGTTATATAACTGCAAGGTGAAAACAAGACGTCCAGGGCTAATCCCCAAAAACTCACAAAGGCACAGATTCACTAGTATTCCATAAGAACAAAACTAAGCAAAGAAAAAAGCACTACCTTCCAGGGGCTGCAAAAACAGCAATCCAGAATAGAGCTCACTGAGGCGCAGCTGAAGCTCTTCAAGCACAAAGATACATCAAGAGAAGGAAAGAGAATATTTCTACCATTCAAACAACATTCAGAATAGTTGCTAGTTGACAGACACAAAAGAATCGATTCAGGCAGCCCCTAGGCAAAAACTTGAGTAGCATTGATGGATATGTAAGAATACGAAAAGAAATTATGTACAAAGAATCAACATGATTTACAGTATATGTTGGTATATGCCCATTTGGGTTCTATTCACTTGGATAATTTTGGGCATAATGCATTAGAAGATAAGCCAAAACTGGAAAAAATAATTGCATGTATGCCCCTCATTATTGAATCTTCCACTGCCTAAATTTGTGCCAAAGGGATTTAATTGACTTCTGTAATCTGGAGTTATCGTCTTGCCTTACCGTCTGTGATGCCTGGTGCAAATTTTGAATGCCACGGCCTAAACAGGCGATTGAGCGAGCCGCAGGAAGAGATTCAACAGCACACTCAATTCCATCTCCGTACATAAGCAATCCAGAGCAAGTAGCAATACTACATCCAAAGGTTGCCCAAGGTAGGAAGCGAGTAGGCTGATCACGCCTTCTCATTATTTCATAGAATGCCATTCTCATAGCAGAAAGACTAGTTTTTTCAGCAGAAGCAATCATGCCATGAGCAACCGCACGGATTTTTTCAGCAGAAAGAGCTGTCTTCAAAACAGACACTTGGACTCCATTTATCATTCCAGGACCCATTGCAGTTGAGGGAACAGCATTACTAAATGTAAGACCAACAATCTTATGGCTTTGAGTTATCAGAAGCTTAAGTGATGCAGGCATCTTAAAAGATGCAACTTTTGCCAAAGTGGATAGATGAACAACTTTCGACAGGGAAGAAGCTCCTAAAACTGCGGTTGCACCTGCCCCAAAAGCAACCACTGGTTTTGCTGATAGTGGCAGCTTTCCACCACCCTGATTTTGTACTTTCTCACCATTTTCCCCATCAGTAACCAACTGTTCTACCATATCCTTAACTTCCAGTGGCACAGAAGTGTTCCAATGTTTCCTCAAACCTTCTAAACCATAAGAATCAACTACGGCGACAATTTTCTTGAACCTCGAGGTCTGGCTACGTACAGCTTGCGCAACAAGTGCATGAGATTTGTCCCAAACTGGAAGCTGGGAAAATTCACAGCCAGAGGAAAGAGAGTTCCCCAATTCGCTTATAGGAAGCCGACCGGCATTATTCAAAGCTATTCTCAAATCCTCAACTGCACGCCGAAACACATAAACTTCAGAAAGGAGTTTACTATCAACAACTTCACCTTTATTGACATCACAAAGAATTTTTTGAGCATGAGCCAGAGCCCTGCCCATACCAGGCTTTAAGCTGATAAATATATCATGTAAATCAACAAGTAAGGGATAGATAAATTGTGAAAACTGCGGAGCCTCATAATCATGCCTTGGTTGATCACTTGCAGAACCCAACTTCTGTGCAAAATCTGAACCAGTTAACTGTAAGGGTAGTGCTTTTACCATCTGAATTTGAACATCATTCAAAGCAGGAAACCTCCACGGGAATGCTGATATTACTGACGGTGCTCTCTGAGGCACCAAAGTACCAGGTCTCATAAATAAAGCATGAAACTTATTTACTGAATTCTCCTCCTTGCCCTCTTGCTTAATCTCCAAAGCTGTCATACCATCTTCACTCCATTTAACATAAGGGGAATCGAGCAACAGAAATGATGCACCCACTTCTTTGGCAGCTTTCTTGGCTGACAAAAAATGGCCGTTAAAACCTATTCCGAAAATCTCCTTCAATACTAAATTCCCTGCTACATCTTCATACTTCTCTTTGCTAATTTTATGAACAAAACACCTCTTTATCACTTCAAAAGCCGAAGTTGGCACTGGTGACTCATCGACCCACCTAAAAATACGTTTGAGACTATAATTATTTGTCGAAACAACAGATTCCTCAGATGCAACAGCATCCATACTAAAATCATCTCCACTGATGGAGGGGCCAACTTGGGCAACTACAGCATCAGGTTTAACCGCCCCGATAAGAAGCTCAGCATCTAAAGCTGACTGCTTAGATAAGTTCTGAACACAAAGTACATATATCACAGCCCCTGATTGAGGCTCCTGAACAGCATAAACAAATCTTTTGTCTCCTCGGGTATATTCAAATTCCTCACTAAGCTATCCGAAACCCTTAAATCATCGTACACAAAATATGAAAAGGGCCATACTTTCTGCACGTAATTTAACAGAACCGCGGCCATCACCGGCATAAAATCAACGACTTCCGAATTCCTGCATAATTTATCCCTTCAACTACAGCAAAACCCAATCCTAACAGAAGCACAATCCAACGGAAAAAAAAAAAAAACAATTACAAAGCAGAATCAAAATAGCCCCCAAATGGGATATCCCTTTCAAGTAATCATTCACAAATCATCAAAACCTTCATAGCTTACTACACATCAAGAATTGCATTGTGTAACTTGCTCATGAAATTGTCTTCTACATCAGAAGGAATGGATTCCGTACCTGAAAGAGATGACCATGATAGGGCAGCTCCATGGAAATCGGATATTATTGCTAGGGTTTATCAGGAGAAGATAAATCCCGATGTGAGCAGAAGAATACGCAATTTTTAATACGCAGTTGATTGAATTGAAGATCGATTCTTACTTTTTCCTTTCTACGGCTTTCTTTTTTTTTTTTTTAATCATTCATTATTTCGTATCTAAAAATAAAATAAATGTCTCTTAAGTTTAGAATTTGTGCTCTAATTGAGCAATCCTAATGGTTGAGTGGTTTCAATCTAACGGTCTAATTTCGTTTGATAATCACAACTTAAGTGGGGTAAATATGTCATTGTAGCAAATCATTTTCATTTATCTTTTGGCAAAAACAGTAGACGCACCAAACGACGTCGTCTAGCCAAACGGCGCCGTTAAGCCATGAAATTGGAGAAAATCAGAACCCCTCCTTTTCCCCTAATTTTTCTTAGACGGCTATTTTCTTCCTCCTCCTCCTCCTCACCGAACAACTTTCTCCTTCCCTTGAATTTCTGACGCCGCCAACATTTCTCCAATTTTTCTCCTCCGATTCCCTTCTTCCTCAGCCGTCCGCAATCGGCGGTTAAAGATTTGCGTGCTGATAAAACAAAGGGGCGGCTTTCATAGATAGGGCGACAAGCAAACTGGGAAATTGTCCATCTCAGCCCGGGCAGCGTCAATCTCCGACATTCCATCGTTCCAAATTGTGCTAAAATCTGTTGTTAGTAGGGTGGGATTATGCTTCCGAGATTTCATCCTAATGAACTTGACGAGCTGTTCAATAAGTGGTGATCTTATAAGTTCCTTTAAGTTTAATGCATTCATGCGTAAGGTTTTTGCCATTTCTGCAGTGACAACAAAGCTTTTTGTGCTTCCAATTTTGGTAAGAAATGTGTTTTTTCAGCTTGAATGTGTATTCGGGGGCGGCATTGTTCCGTTCTTTTGGCTGAAATATAAATGTTACTTCCTCTGTCCCAAAATTATTGTTCAGTTTGAGATTTTACTTTTAGTACAATTTGAACTAGGAATGAAAATCTAAATTGGACAATAATTATGGGATGGAGGGAGTAATAATTATGGGTAAGATAAAATTCAGTATGATCATAGCAGAATTGGAAAACTCTTTTAATTGTTGCTTTAAGCCTTTAACAATGATGTCAATGTGGGATCACTAAGAACAAGCATCAGATTTCACTTTTAGTACAATTTAAACTAGAAATGAAAATTTAAACTGAACGATAATTATAGGACGGAGGGAGTATAATTTTACACGCAAGTATAGAGTTTTTCCAATTCATTGATCTCCAGTTCTATGCAACAATCAGATCACATCGAAGTGCTCTACAATGGTAAATGTTTTTCATCTAAATATGCATTTCAATCTTTTCTTTTCTATATTCTTATACTTGTGTATGTAGATTTACTTCGCTCATGGATTTTCTTGTAATTAATCACGGCCTTCCTTTACAAAAGCTAAGAGCCGAGAATCCCATTTAGTACCAGTTTGGATAGGCTTGCTTTGTGTAATGATGATACCCTAGGTTTCTTTTCCAAGTCGGACTATATTGTACCAGTAGTTTCAATATTATTTCAACAACTTATGAACTCAAACTTTTCGATTTGGAGCATGTTTCGATTTAATCTTTCATTTAACATGTACATCATATTTCTTTGCCTCGTAGGTCATGCTATAATTTTATTTATAGAATGCGTAGAACTAGTTAATTAATTAATTTTTAAATGTCAAATACGGAATACTGACGTGGGATTATGGCGTCATCTTTATGTTTAAAGACTTCTCGCTTTTGAACTTACAATTTGTCAAATGAAAAGACTTCAAAATTCAAATATATAAATCAATAAAAATTGACTTGGCTAAGGAGTACTCTCTCTGGTCCTTAATATAAGACATTTTAATTTATTTTAGGTTTCACTTAATATGCATCTTTGATTGACAAAAAAATCTTAAAAATATAAGATAGATTTTTTTGTCAATTAGAAATGTGTACTAGATAAAAAAGTCAAAATGTCTTATAAAAAGGACCGGAGGGAGTACGTTATTTACTTTGGTAATACTTCCTTCCCACTCTTTATAAGGCATTTTGGTTTATTCTAAATTTTATCTAGTATATTTTTTTAATTGAAAATTAAACCTTAAAATGTATGTTGACATGAATTATGATCTCCCAATTATTACAAAATACTTTTAAGTTTTAAAGTTTTATTTTCAATTTGAATAACATGTTAAAGGAAATTTAGGACAAATTAAAATATCTTAATAAGAACCAGAGGGAGTATCAAAGGTTGAACTTTCACATAATGCTTTTTTTTTTTTTAATCATACAATAATTTTTTATTTTTTTAAGAAAAGTAGAATTTTCATTTGCACTAAATGACAATAAAACATTATATAAATCAATGAAAAATATAGAAATTTTGCCATAGACTAAAGTTTTATCTGATTAATTTCTTTTTTGGTAATGCCAGGTTTCAACCAGAGATAGATAAACTCACTAATTTTTTTTTCCCGATAATGTCACAGACTCTACCAGAGATGGTTTTACCACTGAAGTAACACCTCATTCGCGATTAGTTTCTTTGATGTAAATTGTTTTTGAGAAAATAAAAATTCGATAAAATGAAAATATTATTATTTATGTACTTGCGATTCTTCAACGGTGACCAGAATCAAGTATATGTTTGTTTTGTTTTTTTAGTGTGTGTTTTTAGGTATTTTTTGTATTATGAATGTAAAAAAAATGTATTGAAAATATAAAAAGATATGTTGGAATATGACAGTTATTATTAAAATAATATGAAAAAACCATTCGAAAAACCAAACAAATCACCATACAAACATCATCTTTTCTCTTACAAAAATTTTACATGGAATATGTCATATTTGGATTATGAGATCTAATTTCCAAAATTTTAAACTTTCATTTTTCTGTTTTTGGGATGAATATATTCATAGGAATTTGAATTTATTACGTAAACCTAAACATTCCCGGTTTTTCCCTCTCCCATAGAAAGACGGGATGACCGAACCATTGCCCACCACTACGGGTCAAAACCCTTCTGAACAAAACCCGCTTGACGATCCGGGCTTATTCGGCGATCCTGACCCACTACTGGAAAACGGGTGGTTCATCGACCCAGAAGCTGCCGTCCCCTCCGAACCAATGGCCGGCGTCGACCCGGATACGAAAGCTGCGCCGGAAGCCACTGCCGGAGAAGCCAGCCCCATCATGGCCACTCCGGTTTCGCAGCGGCGGGCGAGAAGAACGGCGGAGGATGTGTCTGAGAGACCTGACTGGTTACCCGAAGGTTGGAAGATGGAAGTGAAGGTTCGGACCTCCGGTGCCACTGTTGGAACTGCTGATAGGGTAATCAATTATTCTCTTTCTCTGTTAAGGTTCTTGTTGCTAGTAAGTTGAGATGTTTTACGGTGTTAGCAACTGGAGCTAGTAAGAATTGAGGCTTTAGGTTGCATCTGTATAGAATAATGTGTTACTGATGTTTCTCCTTTAATGGGTTCAGAAGATTCTGCTTTTCGGGTTACGGTTTGATCTGATTTTAGTTAGTATTGATTCTTATATGTTAATGGACGATGCCCGAGTTTAGCTTGATGGGTTACTTCGATAACTCTTGGTTTCTCTGACATTTCTTATCCCTCCGTTGCCCTTAAGGAAATACTAATGTGGTTTGCTGGATTTTAAGTTGCATATCGGTTATCTTTGAACTTGGATTGAGTTCAAAATCTGTTTTTCCCATCTTTGTAACTTAGAAGGAGATATCTATTAGTAAAGAGAAATGGCCATTTAGTTGATAACAGATTGATTTTGACATGGACAGATAAAAGACAGGTCTGAATCAACATTGTGCAAAGTTATATTGAAATTTGGTAGAGTTAGCTGTTTAGAGTTCAGAAAGTTACAGGCTGAACAGCCTTCTCTGTAATTTAATCTATAGAAATAAGGAGTTTTGTTTGTTTAGGGCGTAAACGAGCCTAGCTAAACCATAGCTGGCACTGGCTCGAGCTCGGTTCAAACTTGTATAAGATGCTCGAGCTCAAACGAGCCTGTGTCACTGGGCTCCAGCTTGATTTGACAAGTTCAAAAAAGCATTGTAATCTTGTGCTCTAACTCAAGCTCGAATGAGTAATTCATAAAAAAAAACAGAAACCAAATATAAGGTGTGCGAGTTAAAATATAAAACTAATATAGATGTCATTGACTTGGTTGGCTTTATGTGCTTGTGAGTCTATCTTTCTTTGCTAAAGCTTGGCTCAATAACTGAGTGAACTTGCTTTTTGAGAAATTGCCTTTGCAACTAATAAGCATATATAAAGATGCTTATTGGCTTTGAGATAATAGCCCTTTGCACCTAATAAGCATATATAAGAAATTACCTTTTGAGTTTTATCTTGAAGTCTTTGTCTAAGTATTACCTGCTCATATATCAGACCACCTGTCCCCCTAAATGGAAACACTCTGTAGTACCATTTTTGAATTATCAGATATTTAAGACCTTAGTTCTTATTCCATGGAAGAACTAAAACTTTAAGTGGAAAGGCTTGATGGAAACAAAAAGAAGTTATGCCAAACCAAGAGGGACGTCAGTAACCAGTCGTTGATGAGGAAATTCTCAAGTAGGTCGAGTGAGAGACCTGAGTGCTTGCACCTGCAGTGGGGATTAAGATGAAAAGGTGCCACTTCTGAGTTGACCATATGATGGTGTTATCTTAAGTAAGATCTTTATTCTACATATGGTCATAACTTTGGAGGAAGAACTCATAAGTTTTTAGGTTCAAACCGTATGTAGAGTTTTGAATGTGATATTAATGAAAAGTATGTTAAATATTTCAGCAGTGATTCTGATCATTAGGAGTTTATGGATTTTACTCCCTGAAACTCTCCGTTTTAAAGTTTTTTCAAGGATGATGCTTTCAGTCAGAAACTGTTGAACACTGCGGTCTACAGATTCATACAATAAGTTTCAGACTGTCTTTCAAAATGGTATGTGTCGTAGACGAGTGAAGCTTTAATCACAGTTGGAGTACAAAGCTTCCAGGAATGGGAACATAGATACTTTTCTGGGGTAACTGGTGATATAATAAAGTTGTTAACATTTGGAAAAGGTTTTTCACTTAATTTAGATATGAAGAGTGTGGAAACAATATCCTACTAGTGTTTTGATTAACACCTGATCTGAAGAAGCTAAAATGAGCACACAAATGATAGTTTCTGGACTGAGTTTAGATTTCTCTTTTACTTTTTCATTTGAAAAGTTAACTGTCCTCTGTAGCTCTTCTTTGGTTTAACGTTAACTAAGCTCTGTAGACATCATTTTCATTGTTTTGCTTTACTTTCTGTTAGTAATATTAAAAGTTGTACTGTGAAAGCTGATTGCAAAAAGGAATTATGAGATGTAAAAAATGAAATGCGAGATATTAATCCTATGGAGATAAAACTTGTATGTCGAATTGGCTTATGTGAATGTGTTTCATAAAAAAATATAATGTCATTTAAGCTTTATTAATATCTTTCTATGTGTTATCCTTCCCTTTTTTAGTTGGTTTTGAAGTTGTTTGGGACCCTTCCACTCAAATTTAAATTTGTCGTGTTTGTTATTATTGTTTTTCCAAGTCATGCGAGTTCCCCTTCTCCTTCCACACCATTTCACTACTTTTTTTTGGTTCAACTAAATATCAATTTTATCTGCTCCCCCCCCCCCAACACACACACACAATAATAACGCTGGTAGTTTGTATTCTTATAAGGGAGGCAGAGATTAGCACAATACTGGGTTTTTGGCTATCTTCTGACCCTCAGTTGACGCTTTCTACTGATCAGATTATGGAAATCAATTATTTCTATATGATCAGATTACATTTTGTTCCAATCTCCCATCTAATCAGTTTTTTGGTTCATGTTCTTGTTAACTTTTGTGTTCAAAAATTAGTTAGGATTTTCACGAAGTCGTTTAGAAAATAATTGATCTTGAGCAGTGGGTTATGACTCCTCAAGAATAATAGTCTAGTTTGTCATTTCAAAATGGCCGCTAATTCTGCATCATGAGTACTTCTGTTTGTCCTTAACCAATTCTCCTTTGCTTAGTGGCTGTTGTGTTTCTTTGAGACTTTCCTCTATTTGGTATGAACAAAGAGTATCTCTACTTCATATTAAGGGCTTGTTTGGCCAACATTTTGTTTTAGTTTTTTATTTGGTTTTGAGATGTGATTTAAAATGTTTTTTGAAATAAAATTTAAAAAGTTGTTTGGGTAATATTTTAAATAAAATAATAATATTTTTAGACCACCATCGGATCACCTCCACCACCGGCGGCGGAGGTGGTCCGGTGGTGGTGCAAAAAAATGGTGTAAAAATAATGTTTGAAATAAATTTTAAAAAGTAAATTAAAAAGTTGTTTGGATAGTATTGGATTTTGTGTTTGAGATGTGTTTTAAGAGGTAAAATGAGACAAAATGGCAAAATGAGACTTGGCCAAACAAGCCATAAGCCTCCAATTCTTTGTTTTTGACATTATTTGATGGAAAAGAGTGTTTGCATTGGGTGTTGTCTTGCTCCACTATTTCAATCATGATACACAGTTGAAATTTCAAAAGTTACCTGCTCTCTTTATACAATAGGTAACCTAAATACTAGGAGAAAAGGCATAATTGTTTTAGTATCATTTTCCTATCTTGTAGATACAAAGAGAAGAGTATCTGTAGTTCATATTAAGCCTCCAATTCTTTGTTTTTGACATTATTTGATGGAAGAAGAGTGTTTGCATTGGGTGTTGTCTTGCTCCACAATTTCAATCATGATACACCGTTGAAATTTCAAAAGTTATCTGCTCTGTTTATACAATAGGTAGCCTGAGTACTAGGAGAAAAGGGATAATTGTTTTAGTATCATTTTCCTATCTTGTAAATTGTAATCAAGAAATTTTTTTATCATGTATTAAAGGATTGCTAGGTGTGGTGTCTTTGGAAGAATGTAGAAGATATGATACCAAAATGACTATTTCTTATGTCCAAATGTGATCCAAGTTAAGTGATTGGATCCTGCTTCATGCTTTTATCCTCTGGATGGTGCCAGTTATTTATTTTTTAATCTAGTAGACTAGATTCTCACGTTCTTATGCTTTCTTGATTCTTTCTGCTGGTTAAATGAAAATTGCGGCTGTGTACAAGAGGATGTTCTGGAGGGTCCATTATGTTGCCATATGCAGTCACTGGCTATCATTTAATACCTTCGCTCGGTTGTCGTCGTTGTTGTTGTAACACTAGCATGGAGGATGTTCATGTTTTATCTCATTTAGTTTCATCAGAATAAAACGTTATTGGTGTTGTTTTCCGCGATGGAAACTGGAAAGGGTTCTCTGTCATTTATCTGTTTCTTCTGTCTGTAAACTGCGCAGAATTAGCCTGTTACTGCTCTCTGTTCATTTTTCATTTGGCTGCTGATAAAGGAGGAAAATGGGGAAGTTGGTATTGCTGTAGGCTCTGTCATCACCATGTCATTTCCTTTTAACTTTTCCAGCATTTCTAAATCATCATATATCCATCTCGCTAGCCTTTAGGTAGAATAGTTGTCATATTCTGTTAACCAAATGCCTAAAGTAGAGCTGTACATGACTGAGCAGCCTGCTAGCTGCTTGCAAACAGCTAGTTCATAGCTTGGCTCAGGCTCACAATTTGACCAAACTTGAGTTGAATAGAGTTGGCTTGATCAAAAATCGAGCTAGAGCCAAAAAAACTGGAGGTATTGGCTCCAGTGGCTCGTAGCCAATACTTCAATATTTTATGTTTATTTCATAATATTCTACTGTATTGCTTATTTATCTTTTGCTTAACTCAAGCTTTTGCCGACTGGAGCTCGTCCAACCTTATTTTGACCTTGAAAGTTAATTTGTACAATTTATTTTGCAGTATTTCTTTTCACCATCGGGAGAAAGATTCCGCTCAAAGGTAGAGGTTCTTCACTACTTGGAAACGGGAAGCAGGCGCAAGAACGGTAGAAAGTCAAAAGATGATCCCGATCCTGCAGTAAGTGCTCACTCTTTTCAGCAGTCTTTTTTCTCACTTCGTACCATTATACTTTGCTCACTCTTTTCAGCAGTCTTTCTTTCTTCCTTCGACCCATTATACTTTGTCCCAGGCTGTGGGATTACAATGGATTCAAGGGAGCATATTGGTTTGCATGCAACATAGGCGCTTTTTAACCTGAAAGGAATTTGTGTGAACTGTTTGGCAGTCTACAGAGAAGCCTTCAGAGAGTCCTGCGGAACGGAAGAAAAAGAAACCCAAAGCCACATCAAACGCAAAGAATTTTTCCGACCTAAACTTCGACTTCAAAAACCCGCCAGAGAGTGTGACTTGGGTTCAGTCAGATGCATCCGGAGATAACTGGGTGCCATCCACTGACGATGGAAATGTACCCATAGACGCTAAGGAGTGGGGGACCGTTTACGCTCGCCTATCGCAGTTGGATAAAAGCAGCGACGCATCTTGAGACGGTTGTACTCAACAATGATATGAACAGATTAGGTTGCTTTTGATGAGGTGCATAGGACTGATAGAAACTCTGCGTAGTATTTAGGAACCTGCTCCTATTTCTTCATCGGATTGGCTTGTGGATAAATTTGAAAACCTTTTGATAAATTGGATAACTTTTTAACTGTTCAGCTTTTGTATATCTGATGGCATGTTTATTTTCTGGGCCGTCATTCCCTGACTAACGATTTGAATGATCAATTTCTTATCTTCCATCCTCTTATCTGATTTCTCGTCTTTCCAGATGGAACTTTTTTCATGTTAAACTTCTGAACAAAAAGCAGGAATATAGAAGCCGTCGCCATCTTTTCCTTTTCTTTTTTAATCAGGCATTTGCAATTCTAAAATGAGAATTAGAAGATTAATGTACATTATGGTTCACATATTAGCTGTACACTACAAACCAAAGGCTGCTAACTAGTGATCCTTCATGATTAACATTCCTTAGTTAATTGAACAAGCAAGATTATTGAAACTAGTATCACTAGAGATGCGAAGATAGACAGCCGAGTTAGAAGCTTGAAACCCCTGATTTTGGAGTTAGAACGTGTAGCTGACGAGGTTATTGGGATGACTTTGTAGGTACCAAATGGATTTGGTCTAAGCCTCCTGAGCCTGAGTCTTCGATTTGCTGTGCCCTGCAAAGGTTGATCTGGGGACGGGCCATCTAGAAGTGAAATCGGCTGCTTAGACTTCTTCTTTGACTCGGGTTCTGGCAGAACCATACGTGACATTTCTGTGTTCAAGTAAGCTGAATGATCATCCAGCTTTATGATCTCATCTTGCATAATGTCGGCGAAACAATCCTCTTCGCTGTTCTTGTAGTCCTGTATCTCAAATATATAGGATAAGCCCTCATGAGTCAAATGCCAATCAGAACACAATTCGCGCAATGAAGTTAAATATAAACTCAAAACCAACTAAGAACGGGTCAAGACAATGTGTCGAGACTAGTGAATCGATCTTCTAAACTAGTCTCTGGCGGTTTAATTTCTGAGGTGAGACAATACATTAATAGACACAATGCATGAAATTTGATGATCCAATTCTTCTTTATCACATACATTGTGTACCACGTTTCAAACAAGAGCGAAATCCAGTTGGGATGTACCTTATGGTGACTAGAAGATGCATGATGATCTTGACACAATCCATTGGCTAATTTTTCATCTGAATCAACCCCCGAGTCTATCTGCTCAACCGAATGAGAATTGTAGCTGCTACTGCAGTCGGGTATATTTTGTTCAATGCCAGATGAAGCTGTAGCATGATTACCCAAATCACGTATTCGCTCCAATTGGGATTTCTTGCGTGATGTATCATCCAAATTAAAGTCTGTATTCCTTCTAAGCCGACAAATAACCATCAAATCCTGTTCACAAAAGTAAGTAATTACCAATGTAAATGCTAATTTCAGACACACCTTGTCCGAATGCACAAAATTTTCCCCGAAGATTCGATTAAACTTGATTAAATGATATCATGGAGCAACAAAACAAAATCACAAAGAATGAACTGACTAATTAATTACTTACCTGGGATTTTCCAGTCATGCAATATTCATGCATAATCCACTCTGTTCTCAGTCCCTTCGGAGCTCGGCCGGTGTGGAATACCAGAGTCCTTTTCGTGCCAATCACCACCGAACCGGACTTCACATTCCGCTCTTTCCCGGTGGCTTTCCAGTAGCCGGAATCCGTAGCCCTCTTACTTTGAGACCCATTGGGATACTTCCTTCCACGAGGGGAGAAGAAAAACCATTCACTATCAGATTGAATGATGGATCTAGCTGGAAAAAACAAAAAAGACATGCAAAATCACTTGAGACCCTTTTCATCAAATGATAAACTCAATACTCAAAAAATAGTTAGAAAATGTGACAAAAATCAGAAAAAGACCAAACAAAACAGAACAGAACAGAGGATATATATGAGTACCAGGTAAGTCCCAGGGCTCGTATCTGCAAATATCAACCTCAGGGATGACTTCAACGCCGTTATCAAACCCATCGATTTTCCGCTTCAGATAAAAGCAAATCAGCTCTTCATCCGTCGGAGAAAATCGAAACCCGGGAAACATGGAAGAAGCCTCTGCTATGGATATCTCCATGGTATTTGCAATATTGTTGTTGAGGTAGCTTTTGCAAGATTTATCGTTGTCTTCCTCCATATAAACTCAAAAACGGAAAACTTGAGATGGGGTATATTCCAAAATATTTATTACCAGAATAAGTTAAGCAATCCTAAGATTCCTGTCTGAATTCAAAAACATGAATTGTTGAGAAATGAGAATTTCTTTTTTCTAAGAGTACTCGAACAAGTTATCTGAGATTCTTTCCAGCTACTACTCTTTTTCTTCTTTTTTTTTTTTCTTTTTTTTTCGTTTTTGGATTTTGGGTTAATAATTATTACGTACCCCATATTAAGTACTCCCTTTGTACCAAAATTATTGTTCAGTTTGAAATTTTACTTATAGTATAATTTTGAACAGAAATGAAAACTCAAACGGACAATAGTTATAGGACGGAGGAAGTAATTAAATGCGCACGCAGTTTTGGTAGCTTTTGACCGATCAAAAAGGCAAGAAAAAAAAATTAAATGTCAGATGTAAAATTGATGTGACAAAGTGAATTGAGTCAGCATCCAGCCGCCGCGATTTGGAAGGATGCGGAGATGCCACGCTGCGTAGTATTTTCCAGTTGGGTGTGTTTGCTACTCTGCGTCTGGAGAGCTGCTTTCATTTTTTCAATGTCTCACCTGGTTAGTACAATTATTAACTATTTCGTGCTGTGCGGTTTCCAAGAAATTATTTCATCTCAAAAAAAGTAAAAATAAAATACTCCTCTATCCCAAAATTATTGTCCACTTTGATATTTCACTTTTAGTACAATTTGAATTAAAAATGAAAATCTAAACTGGACAATAATTATAGGACGGAGGGAGTAAAGAATTGATGTACATATTTTTTGAAATAAAAGAAGTAATATTTACTTTAAAAAGGGAGAAATTCAGGGAAAAAAACCCGATCTAAATATGATATAATAATTTTAGACATTGAATACTCATGTTAGTACTCGCTCTGTCCCAAAATTATTGTTTACTTTGAGATATCACTTTTAGTACAATTTAAACTAAAAATGAAAACTTAAACTGGACAATAATTATGGAACGGATGGAGTATATTTTGAAACCTTTCAGTTCTTTTTCCCGTTTCTTTATGTCTGATCTAAATAACTTAATTTGAATTACTTTTCGAATTTCAGAAATTACTCACTAATAATTCATTTTGAATTCTTTTTCTTCCTCATTTTTTTCTCCTTCATCTTTCATTCTCTTTCAACTTCTTCTTCCTTTTTCTTTTAGATCTAGTAAAAAATCAGACTAAAAAAAATGACGGAGCGCAGCAAACAATAACGAGAAAGCTCACCATCAATCCTAGTGAATTTGTTTTTTTTTTTAAATCCAAATTCTATTTTAAAAAAAATTGAAACAAAAAAACCTACTGCCCAGGCTGGCCGACCCGACCGTCAGCCAGCCCGTGAAGAATTGGCCTGGTCAGGGACCAGCCAATCCTTGAACAGTGACCGGGCCAATCCGTCCCTCTTTGGCTGGTGAGAAATTCGGCCAAAGTTCAAGGATTGGTCGGTCCCTAACCAGGCTAATACGCCCCCTTTGACCGGTGAGAACTCCGGTCAAAATCCACTGACTGGCCGGCGGTCGGGTCGGCCAGCCTGGGCATTGGGTTTTTCTCTTTTCAATTTTTTTTTGATTTTTTTAAAAACTTTTTTGTTTTAGTTATAATTACTTTAGTTAAATTTATTTATAATTAATGTAATTAGTTGTTGTATTCTTGTTTGATTAATTAAGTTAAATTTATTTATAATTAATGTAATAAGTGGTTGAATGTTGTGTTATTAGGAATAATTAATTTCATTAATTTATTTTTAATTTGTAATTGAATCTTTATTTTAATGGAATAGTTATATATAACAATTAATGTAGGTTAATGGGAGAAATTTAATATGTATAATTAATTTAATTGAATTTTTTAAATTTATTTTTGAATCTTTATTTTAATGAAATAGTTATATATAATAATTAATGTAGGTTAAAGGGACAAATTAATTAGGTATAATTAATTTAATTGAATTCATTTTAATCTATATTTTTATTATTCTAATGGAGTAGTTATATATATATATATATATATTCATTAATGTAGGTTAAAGTGACTTGACAAGGTATTTGATCAGGCTAGTAGGGACTAGCTGAATGTGAGTGACGAAGATGATGTTCCGATTGAAGATTTTGACTCAGAAGAGTTTAATGATTTTGAAGATGACTCACCTCCACATTCACCTCCATACTAACTGGTGGCAATACTGAGATATTATTGATGTGTATTTAATTAGAATGTTATGTGTTATTTCTTGGATTTTTTTTTCTAATTTGACATGTTTGAAAGAATTTGCAATGAAACATATGAAATTTAAACAACTATTTTTAACAATTTAAATACATGTTTACAATTTAAAAAATTATATCAAATTATAAATAATTCATTTACATAAACATAATTATTAAAACCTACAAAATAATACTAACTAAATACCATATACCTAATTAACAATTCTCATTTAAATTTAATTAAATTAAACAAATATAAATAACTTAAATTAATAAATATAAAATAACGATACAATGTTCAAGGTTGAGGGTTTAGAGTTCGGTGAGTAATTTAGTGTACTGCAAAATGTACCACCCGTATTGAAATGATGACTTTAATTAATACCATTACCACCATAATCCTGTAAATAAATATATCAAATTTAAAAAATTATAATATACATAACAAAAATAACTAATTCATTTACGTAAACAATAATTATTAAACCCTATAAAATAATACTAACTAAACACCACGTACCTAATTACAAAAACTTACTCAAAATATATTTATCATATCATATTAAATATAACACAAAAAATAAAACTAAAGTAAATATAAAAAAATAAAAATAATTACACAAAAAACTAAAAATAAAAAATTTGAAAAAAATAATTTGCCCAGGGGTCAGGCCGGCCACTTTTTGAAGATTTGGGTGGTTTACTCACCGGCCAATCTTCAAAAGGTGGCCTGCCCACCCTAGGCAAAAAAAAATTTTTCAAATTTTTTATTTTTATTTTCAAGAGTTTATTGGGAAAAAAAATTTACTACAATTGAAGGTGAGCCTTTCCGTGATTGTCTCTCTTGTTTCGATATTTTTTTTACACTTTGATTTGTGGTAGATCTAGATTTAAAATTTGAAAGAAAAGGAATAAGAAGATGAAATTGGAGAAGAAGAAAATAGGAAAAAAGAAGAAGGGGTTAAAGGTAAAATTGTCCAAATGAACTGTAAATGAGTAATTTAGTGAACTGCAAAGAGCAGGGGAGAGGAGGGGGTACTATACATGTGAGGAATTCATTTTTGTTCCGTTAAAAAGAACTTTTTAGGTGATCTGGACATAAGTCAAAGATAGTTTTGTTTTTTGTTTTTTTTTCTTTGAAGTAGGAAAGATAGTACTTCGATCATAAGTACTCATATGAGTATTTTCCGAAAAAAGTACTCATATGAGTTATGCCATTCCTGTAACTTTTGAGCTTTGCAAAGATTGATTAAAATGTTAGTGTACCCTCGCTCCATCGATGAAAATCATGTTTGTTACCCAGCAGTTTTTCTTTTTTTTTTTTTTTTTTGCGACAATGCACGATGCTCAGGTAGGCGTGCCCGAAGCTTAACGCACACCTCACGTTCAAAAACTCGATGGTTCACGGGGTCTTCCAATTCACACCATGTATCGCATTTACCCCGTAGTTAAATAAACGAAAGTCCGTTTCTAAGTGTGAGGAACTGGTATAGTGGTAGCTGCTACGTTGCTTTTGTTGTATTCAAGCTCCAGGGAAAATAAAGGGAACAATAGTAGAACAAGAAGAAAGATAATGAAGCAACGGTAACATTTCTTGGATGTTCCTGAAAAGATCCGCAGAGCAACTTACTACCAAATCCACAAAACAAACGTTTAAAGACCACCAAGTAGTTCCAGATGGCATTCAAGTTCAATTTTTTTTTTTTTTTTAATTTAAAAAAGTGCAGTAACTAGTAAGTACATAGTCCAAGTTCTTATGATTTCACCATGTAGGTTTTTTCAGCTCCAGACAATCTCGCAAGTCTTCGATACAGACGCAAGCATTCTCTTGAAGAAGGCGACGTCCAATTCCCCTTCAAAGTTACAGTTAATAAACATCTTCTCCATAACCTCTCCATTCTTTAAGAAATACTTGATCAATTCGATTTCATCCTCCTGTCCTTCAAATGTTGCGAACTTAATCACCCTTCAAGCTTGAGGATAAACAAGTTGGCACGCCATTGAGAGATGAAAAGAAGCTCGCAAAGCCTCCCTCATACATGTTAAACCCCTGATTAAGAGCCGAAAATCAAGGTTAATCTTTGAAAGAATGGTTTATGATCACAGAAGATAACCCAAAGAAAAAGCACGTTTCGTATAGAAGATGTCATTACGAGTACCAAATCCAAAATACCTGAAAATGAAGTGTCTCAAGATTTGATGCATTTTCAAGTAGGCCTCCCAATATTATCCATCCAGCCATACCAATGGTGTCGAGATGCAAACTCTTTAAGCTACAGAATTTAGGTAGCGGAAGTAACTGATGATAGAGAGCCTGTAAGCAAATTGAAAAACAAAATTTGAAAACAACCACCATAAGGACAAACATAGAGAAGCCTGTAACTCACTGGCAAAAAGAAAACGATTATACTTCCCATGTCCCTCCCATGTCCCAAAATTATTGTCCATTTTGGATTTTTCATTTTAAGTTGAAGTTGAAAATGAAAACTGGACAATAATTTCGGGACAGAGAGAGTATCAAAGAAGCAAAGATTAGAACAGGCTGAAAGCTAAGGAAGGTTACCTCTATAGAAAACTGTCCTAAACATAGACTCTCAACTCCAGAGAATGGATTGACTAGCTCAGCATACTTCACAAAATCATAGCACGAACTGTCTAATTCGTCATCATCGCCTTGCAAAAGTTTGTTCATGGGTATAACATGTATTGCTAAACCACGAATATGATCGAATTCGGCAAATTCGAAAACTTCAACAAGCATGCCAACATAGTACAGGGATTCCAGCTCAGGGGAATCAATGTCCACTGTCGTACTACTATTAATGAAACAGCACCTGATATATAAATTCTTCAGCCAAGGGATACCGATACAGAAGTAGTCCATATTGATTTCACAATGACTTAGCACCAAAGTTTCGATTACAGAGCATCCATCAAAGAGCAATGCCGAGGATTCACCATCAGAAAGCTCAACATGATCAAGCACTATTGTTTTCAGACTGGGAAACTCGATATGTGAAACATTGCGAACAGAACAATTAACCAAGTACAACTCCACTAAACTAGTGCAGCCATGAAACGCGTTAATGACCTTACCAGAATCTTTCATTGAGGCATTAAGACAAACATTTTGGACACGAAGCATTACAGCATGTCGAACCCAAGAAGCAATGCAATCATCATCGTAAATCTCCACACACGTGAGTTTGAATTGATAAATGCTAGCCTTGTTCCGCAGCAACCTCTTCAAAACCCCGCCAACAAAATCAACAAAGCTGCTTTTACGCACTTCCTTGGGCTCGATTTCAGCGGCCGGGGCATCTTCTTCTTCTTCTTCATCATCTTCTTCTTCTTCCAAAGATCGGGATGCAAAAGTAAGGAATCATCGAATTTCAAGGCGAGATTTGGGATCAAAAGGAACAAATCTTTCCACTTGGAAGACAGAACAGAGGTGCCCACAGCATATTTTGTGGGGAGAAACGACAAAATTTGACACAGAACATTTTCCGGCAAATCGCTGATCAGATCGTCTCCGGATTCTGAGGAAGCCACAAAAGCTTGTGTTTTTCACGCCTTTGATAATCACGGTACTGTTCAGCTAATTTACCCACCTGAGATGGGAAAATCATTATCGGGGGCTTATACATCACCACAAATGGGCGGGGATTAAAAAAAAAAAAATCAAAGAGAAAAAAGAAAGGGGTTTTGGTGAATGACTACGATGATCTTTGATGTAGACGGAAATGTTTTAGGGTTTGTTCACATGTGGAACAGTTGTAATATTTGTAACTTGGAAGTCTGCTCTTTCCCAATTAACATTTCCGCGGGAACATTACCCGCCAAATAAAACCTTTTAGTTAACCGCAACATAGTTTTTTTTGGTGGAGCTTGATCATACACATGTGTATGGGAAGTAAATTTTGTGGCCGATTATTTTTAGCTTTCCTAACAACTATTGGTTCGGTCAGATTACAGAGTACTGCCATCGGGCGTTAGGTTATGGCTATAACATGATACAATAGGGGTTGCATAGCTCCGGAATGTAAGAATCTAGACCTTTGGCTTCAACCGGGAAAAAAAATATTTTTCTTTTCTTTTTTCGTGTTAGAATTTTTTGAACTATTAGGGGGCGGAAGTTAGGCAGATTTATTCTGCTTCCTCAATTTGTGGCTTTTGGAATAGCTGATGCATTTGAATTGTGCCATAGTATTTTCCAATAGAACTATAGAAGCACTATGTCTGCAATGAATTAGCTTTCGAATTTCGAATGATAGCTTAGACAATTCTTCATGAAAAGGTCTTACAAATGCTCAACAGATTGTAACTAACATACTGACTCAAACTGAGTGATATGAACTGAAGGATCGGCTAGGTCACTAAAAACACTCTCAGTCTCATTACATTGTTTCCTCTTGTTTTCAAGCTTTCCATCCATGTAAAGCTGCAAATCTTCATCACAGGATGTGGTGATCCACTCACCATCCTCATCCTCGTACTTAAATCTGAACTCCTCATCTTTAAGCCCAAACCTTTGATCCAAATCTCTGCACAATTTCCCAATCCCCGAAATCCTGAATCAGTGCCGAATTGGAATTTTCGCGATTTCACCCTTGTATGTTTGCCTTGACAATCATGGTGTAACTAACATCATTTGCACTTCCATCCCCAGCCTCTGTTGTTCTTCTGCCCAGGAAAATAACGGCATAACTCTGCACCCGGCTTATGAGCAAGGAAACCAAGAGCACTGCAAATCTCGTCGTGCTCACCCCAAAGGCCTAACCGGAGCAGTGAATCATTAGCAGTGTGAAGGTTATGTTACTCCATCAAGGATTTTAAGGGGAAAGAAACAAAATTTAGTTGTACCCAGCACAAGATTTGTTCATCTTCATTTCTCATCCAACTTGTTATACCTAAAGGTCCATGAACTAATCATCAAAGGTCCATGATCATGACTTTATCCTGATTTATCTTCTCGTCTTTCATTTTCCACCTTTTCAACATTTGGGATCCAAGACACCAAATAGGTAGCATTTATGTCATTATCTAGTCATTGTTCATTGATGTGTTTTTTCTTTTTTCTTTTCTCACTTTGACAAATATACTCGTCAGTGTTGTATTATCCATCTGTGCTGGGATTTCTGTACCTGTACGGTATGACATTTCTTTTACTACCTTTGGCATTTCTCAGTATGCCGCCCCAGAAACTTGTACCAACAATAATTGCTGCATAGTTTCTAATTCATCAGATGTTCTCCAGAAAATCTACTCACCCATTCATACCAAAAGGTCGAAAATCCACGAAACCAATATTTAAAACCGACTACCGTAAGTAAGAAACTGTAAGTTACAGCATCTATTCAGTAATTAGTCCATGTTCTTGCTAGCAGTAGTTCATATGACTTTACCACGTAGGTGTTTTTTTGACCAAGAAGATCCCGCAAGTCTCTGATATGGCTGCAGCCGCAAGCATCCTCTTAATGACAGCAAAATCCTTGTCCCCATCAAAATCACAAGTAATAACCAACTTCTCCATAACTCTTCCATACTGTAAGAAATATTCCATGAATTGAATTTCATCCTCCTGACCTTTAAATGCTTCAATCTCAATACTCTATAAGCTTGAGGATAAACAAGACGACACACCTACGAGAGATGACAAGAAACTAGCAAAGTACCCCTCATTCATGTTCAACCCCTGATTAAGAAACAAAAGTGCAAGTTAACATTGTAGGAAATGAGGAGATGTTATCTTTCATGATCAACAGAACATAAGAAAAACCACATTTTTTGTATAATAGATATCATTACAGGTGCCACATTAGCAATACCTGAATAGAAAGTGTTTCAAGATTTGGTGCATATTCTAGTAAGGACCCCTACATCTTCAATCCAGCCACAGATGTAGCTTCAAGTTCCAAAATCTTTAAGTTGCAAAATTTCGGTAGTGGAAGTGACAAATGATAAAGAGCCTGTAAGCAAAGTGAAAAAGACAGATAAAATCACACTCACAACAAGGAAACAAGATAGAGGCCAACAAAAGGACATCAACTAGATTCAGTGGCAATGGGGAGAAAAAAAAAACATTGTAATTAGAAAGCGGAAACTAGAACAGAAGCACTGAAGCAGGCATTTAAGGAAGCTTACCTCCATAGTAAACTCTCCTAGAAATAAAGCTTACCTCCATAGCCGAACCGTTCATCTTCCACGAGCAAATATTTGTTAATGGATACACAAATTAATGCTACAAAAAGGATATGATCCAATTTGGTCACAAATTCGAATTTTTCAGCAAGTATGCCAGAGTAGAATAAGGATTCAAGCTCCCGCGTGTCTACGAAAATTGTGGAACTAAACACAAAACAATCCCGAATAATCAGATGCTTCAGCCAAGGGGCACGGATACAAAAGCGGTCTAATTCGACGTGACATTTACGTACTAACAAGGATTCGAGTACAGGACATCCATCAAAGAGCAGTAACGTGGACTCGTCATCAGAAAACTCAATATAACAGAGCGCCAACTGTTTCAAACTGGGAAACTCGACACGTCGGAACATTGAGAGGACACTTAATCAAATACAACTCCACTAAACTAGTGCAGCCGTTAAGTGTACCAATTACCTTACCAGAACTTCTCATTGAGGCATTAAGACAAACACTTTGGACTCTAAGCATGACAGCTGTCTCAAGCCAAGAAGCGATGCGACCATCACTGTATAGTCTCTTACATTTGAGGTCAAATCCATGAATGCTAACGCCATTTTGCAGCAACCTCTTCAAAACCCCACCAACAAAATCAACAAAACTGCTTTCATGCTCTTCCTTTGGCTGGATTTCAGCAGCGACATCTTCTCCTTCCGAAGAATTGGTATGCAGGAGTAAGGAATCGTCGAATTCCAGCTCAAGATTTGGGATCAAAGGAAACAAATTCTTCCACTTGGATGACAGAATTGAAGTGCCCACGGCATACTTTGTGGGGAGAAATGACAAAATGTGACACAGAACATTTTCCGGCAAATCGCTGATCAGATCATCCTTGATTTCTGGGTTTTCTACAAAAGATTTGGAAGTTTCAAATTGTTCATGGTCATGGTGGTCTGCTGATTTACCCATATGGGCAGGGATTTCTGCACTAAAATCAACCATTCCAGTAACAATTAGAAAAGCATTAGAAGGGTTGAAGAAGAAAAGAAAGGGGATTTTTTTTTAATGACAGAAGGAAATGCCTCCTTCAAGTGTTTTAGGGTTCTTCGAAGATTACAATTGCTCTTCGCTTCTCCATTGTTACTAGTGTTATGTTTTCGCGGGAACGACGGTAGGAAAAACCCGCGTAAAACGAATGCCTTTGTGAGTTTTTTTAATAGATGAAAAAAAATAATCCCTCCGTCCCAAAATTATTGTCCAGTGTAAGTTTTCATTTCTGGGACAAATTATACTAAAAGTGATAATCCAAACTGGACAATAATTATGGGATGGAGGGAATATATAAAAAAATCGAACTGTCTATTCACTTAGAACGAACTTCATTTGTATATCTTGCTTCTTCATCCTGAACAACACGTATTTTTTAAAACGATATTATTGGGAAAAAATTTTGGAATTGAATTTTATTAATTATTAGTGTATTTAGTGTACCAAAAAAATATATTTCTACTTCAATTTCTAGGTACAAACATCAATTTTACTGATTACTTTCGAAACTAGTGCTTCCCATTACGTGCGGGGGTGCTATAAAAAAGGAAGAGCAAAAAAAAAAAAAAAAAACCTATGAATTTTAGATGACATTTCTAAGAAATACAACAGTTGCGAGTGTTTTTTCCTTTTTTTTTTTTGTGCGAGTTAATGTTGAATGCACATATATGACACGAACAAAGTTTGATGACAGATACATTTTGATCATACTAATAATTCAAAACAGGAACAAAGTTTGATAACAGAAACATTTTGATCATACTGTTGATTCGAAATCTTACGTATAAGTTACCAAAATCGCTTCGCAGGTACACATTGCATTCTTTTGTGTGCACTTTGTAACTGCTGCATTATGATGTCCAATCTCGGATGCTAGGACAACTTCACCACCAACGGTTTGAAGTAACTCGCCTAACAGTGAAACAAGTACAGCACGCAAAACACTCTCCGAGAAGGATGATCAACTTCTAAAAGAGTGATTGCGTACATACTATATATTGTATAATACTTCCATTGCTATTTTAAAATAGTACAACAGATAGAACAATCATTTAGCAAAGTAGCATAAAACTAGTAATTCCAGTTAGTTCATTCAGAATTGTTCATGTCAAAGCTTGTTTCATGTAAAAAGTAACGAAAATTTTGTGCTTTTTTCGGACTTCCATGGTAAAATAAAAGAAACCATTGTGGAGCAAGAACAATGACAAGGGTCCTAGGGCAATAATCTTTCCTACGAACAATAATTGCTGCATTATATCTATTCTATCCAATGTTATCGAGAAAATTCACTCACACATTCATACCAAAAGGTCAAAAACTCACGAAACCAATATTTATAACCGAGTAACGTAAGTAAGAAAAACTGTAATTAATTTACATATTGCATCAAAAGCTCAGTAATTAGTCCATGTTCTTGCTAGTACTGGTATAAATGAACTCACCATGTAGGTGTTTTTCTCCAGATGATCTCACAAGTCTCTGATCTGGTTACAGCAACAAGCATTCTCTTAATGACCGCAAAATCCTTGTCCTCGTCAAAACCATACTTAATGACCATCTTCTCCATAACTTTTCTATCAATTGAATTTCATCAATTGAATTTCATCCTCCTAGCCTGCAAATGCTG